GCTGCTCCCCCCCCCCAGTCCTCCCTCCCTCCCAATTTGGTCTCTTTTCTCTGAGATAGAGGAAAGATAGAAAAAAAGAAAGTAGCCTTCAAGCATATCCTTGATTTAGCATTATTTGTGTAGAATATACGGTATGACCGTTATTCCGGAAGATTATTTTAAGATTAGATTCCGTAATCACCACTGTGGTTATGTTTCTCAATTAAGCCCTGCCAAGGAAAAATATGATGGGCTAAAGAGAGAAATATATATAAATATATATATATTGCAGGCATTCTCAGCTCGATAGTTATAATTTCCAATTCCCATTTTTTTTGTTTGTTTTCTTTTCTTTTTGTTGAGAAAAAAGATTTTCCTTGATGGAGAGTGAGAATTATTTTCAAACCAAAACAGAAGTCTGGACTTTAGACGCAGCAAGCAGTGAGAAGCATCCCTTTAAAAATAAATTAGTGCAAAGAGAAGGGTGCAATATTTCTAGCAGGTGTTTTTTTCCCCAAGCTTCTGAACTTTGGAAAAGTTGAAAATATGTCAACGCTTCCATGCCTGTGTCTACAAAGCAATGATGGTTAAGGAGTGTGAATTGCATCAGCAGTTTTGCCCTTTGCTGCTCCTTGATTATTTGAGCTTAAATACGTTTGTCCCTTTTCTAAATTCACATTATGGATGGGTCACCCTTCCCTCCTACTGACCTTCAAGCCTCTGCTCTTTCCTGCAAGATCTGTTGATCTCTGTCTCCATGACAACCAGCTTCCGGAAGCAGAGGCCTCTGGGAGTCGTAGTTTGCTCCTTTGCCTCAACAAGCTTCAAGTTACTTCTGCTGGTGAAACAGGGATATTAAGAAGCAAAAATAGGAGAACAGAATGAAATTTCTGACAGATTTCTAAAAGAATGGCCCAGCACTTCCTCTGCAGTAACAATCAATAAATCTCACTTGTTGGTTTTGTTTAATTTTGTACCCCCCCCCTTTCATATCAATAGAAAAATAATAGTTATGGCAAACAAATTTCCATAATAAATCAATATAGGTGGTCCTCAACTTACAACCACAACTGCGGCCAGAAATTCTATTCTATTTAAGCAGCCTAGTACTTAAATGAATCCCGCCTGATTCTACAACCTTTTTTGCCGCTAAACAAAACAGTCACTAAACGAATGGTTGTAAGTTGAGGACTAAATGTACATAAATTCTCACTTTTGCTTCCTTTTGCATCTACTCTCTGAATTGCCATCAGTGCTAAATGCCAGTGATGGGACTTGCCGTTGTGTCAGAAAAATATCTTGCAGCAATCACCATTTTTTTAAAAAAAATAAATTCTGTTTCTTTTCTCAGCCATGCTCCTTCAGAGGAAGAAAAGTGTGAAACTTGAAAATTGGCTGAATAATTGGACCTTTCAGTCCCTGTGAGAAGGGTAACTGTTGTGTTTCATCTAATATCCTGGTATATTCTTTCCTAACTCATCATAGACACCAGCTTTCAGCAAAACAAAAAAAAGTAAAATTTTCATCTATGATTATTTCTGTCCCTTAGATGGAGGGCTGGGTCTGCATTAAACCTTGCTCTGATTCTCTTCAAGGATCTAAGAGGAACATCTGGAATGATATCCTTCAAAGCGTATCCTTAAAAAGACAGGAGATCAAAAGTTGGGAGGAACTAAGAATTTTCTACACTCCGGGAAAGCCAGAAAGCCAAAAAATACAATCCAGCTTCTAAACAGTGGCTTATTGCCTTGGATTGCTGCTATAAAATAGTATTTTCAGAGGCGTTAGAAAATCTCAATCTGGCAAAGGAATAGTCATCCTGGGAGCCTTAGTAGGAGGGGACCAGCTGGTTTGGAGATAGTATATAATAGGGCAGAGTAAAGTCGGTGCCATACATGCCATAGATGCTCGTGAGCTGTAAGCTGTTATGGTGAGGAAGAGAGTAGACAAGCAGCCTATTTGTCCTTACTGTGAAGTCCAGCAGGCCTTACTTGCAAGTAAGTGCAACATTACATTGCATCTCCTCAAAGGAATGCCTATGGGTTGTGCTAAGGTCCAGTCCATCTTCCTGTTTTGAGTTTGCTTTTAGTTGCGCCTTAGACTAACTTGACACCTGTTCCTCTTCAGATAAATTGACTAAAGAAACCAATGGGGTTCCTTTTTTCGTTTCGTTTTTTCTTTTAAGAATTACACATTTCTTTCCTGGGGAGGGGCAGTGTGTTGGAATTCTTCGAGAATTATTCTCTGAATTTCTTCTGAAGTCCAGAACGACTTGATCTGGGCATACATTGGAGGATTCCTGTAAGAGAAATCTTTTTAAAAATCACCTTTTAAAACTTTGATATTAGTGTCCTTCACTAGAATTTAAGGAACAGGACAGCTAAACAATCTCCATAACTTGAGTTAGAGCAGTTCTCACAGTTAGATGCTTTGTTCCCCCACTTTGACCTTCAAAATGTTGAGATTGTTTTAAACAGATGTCTCAAAGGCAGATATTTAATCAAATTTCACCAAGATGATGTAATGGGAGTATCTTTGCTTGTTTGAACTAGTGAGATGAACTTAAAGGGAAAAGAGGTTTCTTAGGGCTAAAAATATTTATGTTCTCTGAACTAAAAAAACACTTTGAAGATGATGGCCACATTCAGAAACAATTGGTTGAAAACCGTTTTAGCTATTGCTAGATAGAATAATACATATATTTTAAATTAAGACTGGGGGAGGATTTTCTTCAGGTTTAATTAATTGGAGAACAAACGTGTTGAAAATTATGATGCTTATTCTGGGTTTTATCATGTATTAATGGCTGTAATTAGAGCACCATGTTTCCTTATATTTTTTGAGTGGGTTGTTATTTGTTGCTTTTAATTGTGTATGCCTCTCTGAATCTTATACTGAGTGGGTAGATAAATGAATTAATACCAAATAATTAATAAACATAACTCCCAGCTTGAGAATGTCTGTGGCAGAGAAGGCATTTTAAGATGAGAAAGGCTGCAATAGTCAGTGTGTCTTCTGTGATATTTGTTAATGTGGTTTTCCCTAATGAAATACAAGGAGCCACAGACTAAGCTAGCAAAACTAGCCAATGAAGTTAGTTTTTCATTCACTGTGTTGTGTAAACCAGGAACACTGAATTAATTGAATAAGCCACGCAATATCTGAATGCAAGAGGGGGTGATTGTGTAACCCACAATTCAGTCAATCTGAATAAACACATGTAAATACAGTTAGCTGTGTCTCTATAATGCTATAAAACACAAAGTACCCAGTAATCTTAACCAGTTCTAGCCTACAAACCCATCAATGTGGTTAAATTGACCATTGTGATTCCATATGCTCTGAGGATACAGAAAAATAATTTTGGAACTTCCAGTTAATTTATCTACTCAAAATATATTGCACTAAATACAGTAGCTAAACGCAGAAGAGAAATTCTTCCCAATTCTCTTCACGATGGCTGTGTTTGCAGGGCACTCTGTACTACAAACCAGCTAACCATTACTGTTGCTTAGCCTGTCATGTGAATGTCAGCGCTGTAGGTTGATTGTGGTTCAGTGCGTCTTGAGTATGCAGAAAATCGGTGAACTGAAGAAGCCAAGGTTCTCTTAACCATGGATGTGTTTTTGAAAGACAGCAGATGAATATCATGGTGACCAGATTTGAAAGAAGAGGGTGGGACTGTAGTTGCAGAAAATGTGAATGAAAAGAGAACATCACTAGTCAACCTTAGTGAGGAAAGTTCTCAGATGCATAACTATTCAAGATGAAGGACCTCCAACTCTACCATGTCCACAGCAGAGCCTTCTGCTCAAAAGTATCTGCAGGCAGAGGTCCGAAAAGTTAAGAGGTGGCCAGTCAAAGCCTACCCATTTTAAGTAAGTTATTTGCACCCAGCACCTTAAAAAGAGGGAGGGGCTTAAGTCACATGGCTATGGCCACCATCTCAACTTTTTTAAACTCTCCCCCTCCCCCCACGGTTCCTGGTTCGCTACCTGCAGTTCAAGGTGGGTGTACCTTGGGCATAGATCGGTCCACCTGTTTGGAAGCAAATTCAGCCTGTGGGAAGAAAACTCTGAAAATTTAAGATAAAGCAGGTTGAAGCTGCAGCAAGATATAGGGGTGAGTATAGAGATCAGCAAACAGGTCTTTGGCCTCTCTGTTTGTTCTTAATTACATTCCTTTTCCATCGCAGATACTTAATCTTCAATTTTTAAAAAATATTTAAAAAATTATATATTTTCTTAAAATATGGATAAAAAATGCAAACCAAATAGATTTTTTCTGATTATGAATCAGGTTGCTTTGTTGCTGCTTTGCATCCAGTCAAGATCATGTGTAGTGTCATCCCAGGGTTATGGGACACTCTATTTAAAATGTTCAGATTGCAGAAATGGTGAGACTTGGTTTGAACTGGGAAGCTCAACGTGGTTGGTTGGACCTGATTAGATAGAAGATCACCAAGAGAAGACCAGGCGCGCTAGAAGACTCTAACAGCACATTGTTCTACACTATTACCAAAGCTCCATCAAAGTGCCCAGGAATTCATTTCAATTCGAGGCAGCCTTGACCTTGATCATAAATACCTTCTTCTTCTTCTTTCAGGATATGATTACGATGTTCTGGCTTGTAGTTCCAGTTCTCTTCTTCCCTGTGACTGAGAGCCCTGACTGTAAGTTTCTGGTTCCTTCTTGAAGAAGGCTGGCCAGAGGGGGAGTGGGTGAACCTCCAGCTGCCTCTAAGTGTACCAATTTGAGTGTTTTTCATTTGAGCTACTCCTGAGAAGAAGCAGGGCCAGGAGCATTAGCTGTGTCCTTCCTGTGGAGTTACAGGAACAGACTTTTGCAATTAACAGAATCTTTAGACCCTGACAAACTGAGGAGGGCCTCTGCTGAGCATCTTGCCTCACCCACCATCCAGCTGTGACCATTCCCACAGCAGCATCACATGGCCCAGTCTCCAAGGTTTTCCCACACGTCACGATATACAGAGATGCCTAACCTGGTTCTCCAGAAGGACACATGGCCTCTAACACTCTGAAGAACAATCTCAGAGAAATTATCGCTCATGTTGTTGTGCAGCTAAATTGTAAATCTGTAAAATCTGTAAATGATGACATTGTTCATCTGGCTGTCGTATTAACTGACTCTGGGGCTTGCAGACATGGGCTGCAGAAGACAAAGGGCCACTAGATGGCACCAAAGCAACACAGAAAGCTGTAACTCTGCTTCCATCTAGTCTTCTGGGGCTGTGCAGCTGAGCCTGGTGCCTCCAAATGCAAAGGAATTAAGCACACCTGGTGCACATGGTGGGGAGGATGTTTTTATAAAACTTCCAAGAATTGCTCTACCTGCCTTAAAGTGAAATAGAGCCAACAATAAGAAACAGGCATAGAGTACTGAGTTGTGTTGGGGCACAAGGGTGAAACTGTGGTTTTTCTTTGCTGGTGACCCACCATCTGATGGATCCTTTCGGTTCTAGATCACCTGATGGAGCTCCAGAAACGCAGCGGAGAGGAAGCGGTGAGGCTTCACAGGACCTTGGGACCCTGCCTTCCGAATCCGTGTTTTCACCAGGGAAAGTGCAGGGTTGTGAGCAACAGTCCAAATTGCACTTGTAAGACCGGCTTTACGGGACAATTCTGTAAAGGTAAGACACATCTGCTCTGGGATGCAAAGGCCTACAGACTTTCCGTGTTCAAAGAACTTTCTTAACTTAGAAGCCTGGGGAGTTATTCTTTTTTCTGTTTCCCCAGAAATACTTAACTGATCTGGCATAAAAAGCATTTTGAAGTTCTCCTGCCTTCAAAAATTCCTATAAGTGTCTTTGTTATAAGCAAACTTAAGAGTTACCAGATGCAGAGAAAAAGGTTTTTTTTCCCCCCAGGAACGTGTCCTTGAGGAGATCTTTCTCTCTGAGGACATTTTGCTCTCAGTCATTCTTTGGAGTGAATACTGTTTTTTTTATTGTTCTCTTTTAACTGAAGCACAATTCTATTATAGGCTGAATCCGGTAACATTTTCCTGCAAAATTGCAGACCTCTCCCCCAATGATATTTCAAAACCAGAATGTGTAAATTATCAAAATATATCCTTCAGCATCACGTCCAAAGATGTATGTTATCCATGTTGAACAGTGTTGAGCCTCAAGGCAACTTTCCATTTTATACTGTTTCTAAGTCTAATATTAACGGAATCTTTCATAGCCTAGAAATTCTTAGTGATCAGATAGCCAAGAGGTATATATGAAAGGTATGACCTTCGTTCCACAATGGATTGTCATATTTACATTCAGTCCCACAGAAAGATCTTGGGATCCTAGTGGACGATCATTTAAGTATGAGCCAACACTGTGTGGCAGCAGCCAAAACAAGCCAACACAATGCTGGGCTGCATTAATAGAGGGATAGAATCAAGATCACGTGAAGTTTTAGTACCATTTTACAAAGCCTTAATAAGACCACACTTGGGATACTGCATCCATTTCTGGTCACCACGATGTGAAAAAGATGTTGAGCCTTTGGAAAGAGTGCAGAAAAGAGCAACTATGATGATTAAAGGCCTGGAGACTAAAACACATGAAGAACGGTTGCAGCAATTGGGTATGGCCAGTCTAGACAAAGGAAGGACAAGGGAAGACATGATAGCAGTGTTCCAATACTTGAGGGGCTGCCACAAAGAAGAGGGGGTCAGCCTATTCTCCAGAGCACCTGAAGGCAGGACAAGAAGCAACAGATGGAAACTAATAAAGGAGAGAAGAAACCTGGAATTAAGGAGAAACTTCCTAACACTGAGGACAATCAACCAGTGGAACAGCTTGCCTTCAGAAATCATGGTTGCTCCATCACTGGAGGTTTTTTAAGAAGAGATTGAACAGCCATTTGTCTGTAGGTCTCCTGCTTGTTCAGAGGGTTGGACTAGAGGACCTCCAAGGCCCCTTCCAACTCTACTCTTCTGTTATTCTGTTAAGATATGGAGGTGAAACTCCAGTGCGAGGAGGAGTATATGAAGATGCTGGTGAGGAAGGAAGTGTTTGAGACGCTGAAAGTCCCGCTGAGATCTGTCCATCTGATGAATAGCTCCTGTGCCCTTTCGGAGCAAGATGAGGATGGAGAGAGCTTCTTCGGAGCCACGTTGACAGGTGAAAACCACACTGCCTGCGGGTCAGAGATCAAGGTAGGTGGAGGATACAGGTACAGGTAGTTCTCAACATACGACCACAATTGAGCCCAAAATTTTCATGGCAAAGCAAGACAATGGTTAAGAGAGTTTTTGCCCCATTTTATTACCTTTCTTGCCACCGCTGTTAAGTGACTCACTGATGTTAAGTTAGTAACACAGTTATTAAGTAAAACTGGCTTCCCCCATTGACCTTGCATGTCAGAAGTTTGCAAAAAGTGTTGCATTACTGTACTACCCTCTTCACCCATAATCCTGAGCTTGGCTCGTAATCTAGTTTCTGGTCCATTTTGCAGGTCAACGGTTCTCACGTGTCTTATGCCAACGTGATCGAGTCAGACCGGGAGGATAACGGTGTGATCACCAGGAGTGCTGTGATTCTCATACATTTCTCCTGCATCTATACCTACAAGCGTGTAGTCAGCTTGCAGTACTCACTCAAGGCTATGGACACGTATGTTGTGGCTTGGGTTGCTGTAAGCATTCTCTACCTGATGTCCTGTGTTAGGATGGCTATGATAGTTTCAGACCATTCTGTAAGCAGGCAAGCTGAGTCTCAACAGATGAACCAGTGGCTTTGGCATCCATCCTACGTGGGTTTGAGATCACCATAGTCAAAAGTGGTGCTGGGCATGGTCATAGTCTGCAGCCTGAAGGGAAATCCCATGTTTGCAACTGAAGGTTCAATCTCCAAAAGGTTCAGCTAGGAAGGACTCCAAGATACCGAGCACTATGGCTTGGCATAAGACAATCATCAATAGGTTTGTTATTATTTCAAAAGCAGTACACTCCACACTTCTGAGGGTTAGGAAATTGCAAGAAATGGCTAGGGTAAGCAACCTTCCAACAGCTGAAGACCTCCTTTTGCATTTTTTTTTTTTTTTTGCCTATTTAAGGGATACAACCAACAACGTTTGTAAGGTGAAATGAGCAAGGCTTTGGAATTCCTGTTTTTTTTTTTAATGAAATACTTTCACTTCTGTGTTCCTTCTTTAAGATGACTAGCCTTCTCAGTGTAGGACTGCCTTTAATTTTTCTCAGAGGGCCTATTAATACATGTGTTCTATTATCAAAGGTTAAATTCAATAATGAGGTCCAAAGAGTGATATAAGGATCATCTAGGACCTGATCAGGTGTAGGCTGGGAGATGACTAGCAGGTAGAATGGTAAGATAAGAACGAGAATTATGCAGCATGATTATTATTCATCAATAATTTGATTGATTGATTATGTGCTATCAAGGCCATAACTGTGCTTTGTTTTTAGGTGCTATGTACATAGTCTATTTACACCCTGTCCCAGATACCTTCTAGCTTAAAATAAAGTGGTCCTCTTTTACCAGGTAGATGCAGCAGTTTGATGTTAAGTATTTTGCAGCAATTTGTTTTATATAGTGTAATTTATGTTTTTTCTCTTCCTGGTGTGCTGTTATCAGTTGCACGTTAATTGTTTTACTTTTTTAGACAGGATTGTAGAAACAGTTGAAGACACTTAGAAGGCCTTCCAGAAAGCCTATGTGGAATAGAAAAAATAATAGTAGTGAGAAAGTTGAATAATGAAATGTTCCTCTTAAGTCTTGGCAAGTATATTCCTGCCGGTATGACCAATCTGTGGTTGCAAGAGAAGTCAAAAATAGTTGAGCTGCAAACTGAAAGGACACAGTTGACTTCACATGGACAATTTAGAAGAACAGTAGCTTAGCACAGGAGGTCTCCAAATTTGGCAATTTTAAGACTTGTGGACTTCAACTCCCAGTATTCCTCATCAGCATGACTTAGCAACTCATTCCCTCTTCACACAGATACACCTCTCAGACAGACAGATTGATGGGCGATATTTCTGTTTCCTAGGTTTGTGCAATTTTCAGTCAAAGAAGGGGACTTTACTGTAACCATGGGCCTCTATGAGAGTGCTGGCTTCCAGAAGCCTTACAGCCAGCAGCCGCTGTCGCTTCTCATGTCAGACACCCTCTACGTCCTCCTGCAGATAGAAGGGCAAGACCAGGTGAAGTACTTCTTCCTAAGTGTGGAGGACTGCTGGGGAACCCCAACGAACAACCCCGATGACAGCACAAAGCACTACCTCATCACGAAGGGGTAAGAGGCATGGCTGGGGTTGTCTAGGATGCTGGTTGAAGCTCCAGGGTGGTGAGGAGAGTGGACAATCATTTGGTGTCATGAGCACATTTTGAAACCAGAGAACTCTTTGAGCATGGATGGACGGATGGACAGATAGTCCTTGAGTTACAACCATTCATTTTGTAACCATTCGAATTTACAATGGCACAGGAAAAAATGTGGGCCAGCAATTGTAAATAATGACTACAGGAAGGGGGGACCTGTTTTCTTCTAGGTGTCCTCGCGACAAGACGCTGGAGTTCCTCAACGCAATTGGAACCAGCACGGTGGCCAAATTTAGCTTTCAGATGTTCCAGTTCAAGAACTTGTCCGAGGTCTTCCTACACTGCAAAGTCCGTCTGTGCATTCCAGCTAACCAGGAGCCATGTGCCAAGGTGAACCCACATCTTTTGCACATGACTGTGCAATGCCGGGCACTTTTTCATATCTTCCTGGGAGCTGAACAGCTTATTTATTTGCAATCCCTGATCTGGGGAAAATGTTTGGGTCACAGTGAAGAAGCTACAAGGAAGATGGGGCTTTGGGGAGTCCTTGACTCTTGACCATAACCGAGCCTGGAATTATGCTCATTGGTTGTGCTGATGATTAAGCGGCATGACAGTGCCCACTTTTATGACCTTTTTTGCTTCAATCACTAAGTCAATGTAGTGGTGGATAAGCAAAACACATTATCCACAATGGTTTTTTTTTTTTTTTTGCTGTAAACTGGAAGTAAAAGTCAGTTCCCAGCAAAAAAAACATCAATCACAATCATGTGTCCACAAGATACTGCAAATGTTTGTAAATGTGGGCAGATGGCTGAGCTGTCCAAAATGGGATCCCATGACTGTGGGGTTGGTCAAAATGGGATGATTCGACATGCCAAAATGCTGTGGCCAACTCATTGCTGCCAACTCAACGTGGTCAGCTTTATTATTAGCATTAGCTCCATCATCCATTGGGGTTTTTGTTATGCACATACTGACTTCTCTCTTTTCCTTTGGTGACAGCAATGTCCCATCAAGCAAAGGAACAAGAGGCATCTGGAGGACGAATACATGAAAGTGGTCTCCTATGGGCCCGTTGTGTTTGCAGTGCAGTCACACTTGGAAACCCGGAACACCCACGACCAACCGTCCTTCTTGGGTATGGCACCGTCTTCAGTTTGATGCCCCAGGGAGGGGGTTAATTGTGACTTCCACTTGAGCTTTTGGACCCCCAGTGCCCTGGGATGTCCACACTCTTTTTCAGCTCCTTGGGGATGGAGGGGAAATAGGGTATCTGCCTTCCTCTCTGAAAGAGTTCAACTGAAAAAAAATATCAGCGTCCCCGCCCATATCTCCAGTGTATCTGAAAAACCAATTTTTTAAAAAAAAAAAAAATACAGGAAAGTTTTTATAAATTATCTGGACCATTCTTTGGAAGCAACATTTTCATTTTTAAACAAACTGATGAAATTTGTCCTCCTTCCTGTCTTCTTCCTTCCCTTCTATTCTATTCCCTTTCTTTCCCATGTCTGTCTGTCTGTCTGTCTGTCTATCCCTCCACTCTTTCCTTTCCTTTCCTTTCCTTCTTTTCCCCTCCTTCTCTCTCTCTCTCTCTCCCCTCCCTCCTCATTCCAGGATCGCAGGTGTGGATCCCTGTGGTGATGGCCGTGGTAGCCATCACTGCAATCTTCATCTTCATAGCTGTTGTAAAAGTCATGAAGAAATGAGCAACTTCCAAATAAATCTATAATTGCAGATCACGCCAGGGCCAGTTTGCAATTTTCTCTCCTGAAAGAAGTTTCCAAGAACTGCCATGTTGAAAAGTTCTGGGTGTCCTTTAAGGGATAGGAGAATTTTGGAGAACTTTTCTCGGGTCAAAGCTAACCGTTCTTGCCCGCATTGAATGAACACGTTGCTCAGGAAAGGCGCAAACGTCTTGTTGTCTGACTGGTGATCTGCAGACTCTCCGGCTTCCATTAGATCCCCGGTGAGAGCCGTCTTCCTGGGGGATTTTTCAGACTGGGAAGGAGGACCAGCCAGGGAGGCTTCAGGCCAATGAAAAGACGTGGATCAGAAAACAGCAACCTCAGCCATCTCCTCCTTTTCCCTTTTGGCTAAGAGCAAGTTTAGGTACATCACAGAGAAATTTGAAAGAAAATGTTCTGAGAATAAGGTAGCAAAACAGAGGCAAGAAAACTCTGAAGAAATTCCAAATTTGATGAAAGCAAAGCTCAACATGGCATAATCTCTGATGCACAAGCTTGCTTTTCGGACCTACGAAAGCCACAATATGACGACAAATATTGGTGTGTTCCGGCTTCTGGTCTTGCCTGCCTATTTTTTTTTCTTTTTTCTTTTTTTAACCTCTGTTTGAAGCACAAAGTTTCTGCCCTTATCTTGATTTACAAGAAGGCCTCTTGGCCACCTGTTATACCTCAAAGCTGTTGAAATGTGCTTGGTAGTTCAGGAAAAAGTAGAACAGAAAACAGCTGGGGGGAAAAGTCAGGGAAAAACCAGACCCACTTATTTTCTGGAAAAGATTGTGTTAATCCTGGTTCCCCTTTCTGGGGCCAACCCTTTAGTCCAAGGCCCACGGTCACACTCTCAAAGTGTGACAGCTGCCCCCCAAAGATAACTTATCCTGTTGTTAAGCTTTCATTCCTCTGAGTTTGCAAAAAAGGAATCAGTTGAAGCTTCCTTCAGCAATTGGAATCTGATCTTGCAGTCCAGTTTCTACCTGTGCAAAATTTGAAACAGTGGCCTGTAAAAATTAAGGATTTCACCTTGATTGTTAGTGTGGTGACATACACAGCAAGAATTCTAACTTAACCTTATGAAAACAGGCCTTCTCTTGCTCTAACACAGTGTTTCTCAAATTTGGCAACTTTAAGATGGGTGGACTTCAACTCACAGAATGCCCCTACCAGCATGCATGCTGGGGAATTCTGAGTGTTGAAGTCCACCCATCTTAAAGTTGAATTCTGGGAGTTGAAGTCCACAAAAAATCCACATATCCAGAAATTGTCAGGGTTGTGAAACACGGCTCTAGCATAGCTTTCTGCTAGGATTCCTATTTATGGTGTTGGATTTTCTTTTGTTAGCTGCTGTGGTTGGTGTGTACTAGCAACGTGCAAGAATTTAAATGTGATAAATAAAATTTGAGTCAAAATTTGGGTCAACCAAAGTTCTCATTTACCTCAATTTCAGTTGCTTAACCACACCCTATTTGTCTACACTTCCTTGACTACCCTCCCTTTTTTGTATTCTCTCCTCTCTTCTCTGTTGAATCATAAAATTGTATGTTTGGAAGGAAACTTGAAGGTTGGGTTAAGGTTGGGGTTTCAGTCCATCTCTCCCAGTGCAAGGCAGGAGACCTTATACCAGACAGATGGCTGTCCAATTTCTTCTTGAAGACCTCCGGGGATGGAGCACCCAAACTTCTGGAGGCAAAGCCGTTCCACTGAGTAATTGTTCTCACTGCCAAGAAATTTCTCCTTAGTTGTAGGTTGGGTCTCTCTTTAATGACCTTCCATCTGTTGCTTCTTGTCCTGCTCTCAAGTACTTTGGAGACTAAATGGACCCCCTCTTTCCGGTGGCAGCCCTCCCCCTTCAAGGTCACACTGCAGAGGTGTTTGAACGGTCCAGACAGTTCCCATAATAAAAGGAGCTTATGTGATTAGACAACGCAATGGACATTGCAAGGGGACAGCCAAAGGGGGGAATTCAAGTTTAATTATGTGGACATTTGAGCGGGAAATTCAGAGCTGGTTTTGCTTCTTTTGTACCAAAGTAGTGTACTCAGTAAATGTAGTACTTTTAGGAAGAGCAACACCCCAGGCGTTCCTTTCTTGCATTAGCTAGCTGACATCTGACACTATCATTTTTCCAGATAGCCACAAAAAAATATTTTCAGGTTGTAAAAACAGAAGGATGCTGAGAACAAAATTCCCATAACTCATCCACTAAAATGGCCGGTCAAGTGCCCCTTGAAACCAATAGGTACTAATAGGAAGGGAGGGGTCAAAAAATGCAAGATGGCAGCTTCAAGCCCTCTATCCCAGTCCAGGTCTTTTTCGTGTGCAAGATGGTTGTGGCTGCCACAGTGACTTCCTTTGACTCCCTTCTTGCAGACTCCCCCACGTACAGCCTGACTTCTTTTTGCTCTCCACAACTTTTCAGCCTGGCCCACAACAACAACCACACAATAGTAGTAACTGTGAGAGGGACCTCGGAGTCCTAGTAGACAATCAGTTAAATATGAGCCAGCAGTGTGCGGCAGCTGCCAAAAAGGCCAACACAGTACTAGGCTGCATTAACAGAGGGATAGAATCAAGATCACGCGAAGTATTATACCACTCTTCAATGCCTTGGTAAGGCCACACTTGGAATACTGCATCCAGTTTTGGTCACCACGATGTAAAAAAGATGTTGAGACTCTAGAAAGAGTACAGAGAAGAGCAACAAAGATGATTAGGGGACTGGAGGCTAAAACATATAAGGAACGGTTGCGAGAATTGGGTATGTCTAGTTTAACGAAGAGAAGGACAAGGGGGGACATGATAGCAGTATTCCAATATCTCAGGGGCTGCCATAAAGAAGAGGGAATTAAGCTATTTTCCAAAGCACCTGAAGGCAGGACAAGAAGCAACGGGTGGAAACTCATCAAGGAGAGAAGCAACCTAGAACTAAGGAGAAACTTCCTGACAGTGAGAACAATTAATCAGTGGAACAGCTTGCCTCCAGAAGCAGTAAATGCTCCAACACTGGAAGTTTTTAAGAAGAGACTGGACAGCCATTTGTCCGAAATGGTGTAGGGTTTCCTGCCCGAGCAGGGGGTTGGACTAGATGACCTCCAAGGTCCCTTCCAACTTTACTATTATTATTATTATTATTACAAATTGTTGCCTGAGCTATATTTTGCCCAAACGTAATCAAGAAGGCATCTGCACTAATAAAAAATTGCCTTTAATATACACATAGCTTAAATTTCAATGTACTCTCATAAACTGTTTACACCACTGCAATTATTTTAAAAAAATATTTACATTAGAAAAAAAAGAGCCATACAAACACAGGTAGTCCTTGCGCTTAGGGCCACAATGGAGCCCAACATTTCTGTTGCTAAGAGAGACATTTGTTAAATGAGCTGTGCCCCATTTTAGGACCTTTCTTGCCACAGTTAAGCGAACCCCTGCAGTTGTTAATTTAGTGACACAGTTTTTAAGTGACTCTGGCTTTCCCTTACACTTTGCTTGTCAGAAGGTTGCAAAAGGGGGGTCACGTAACCCCAGGACACTGTAAGAGTCATAAATATATGAATCAGTTGCCAAAAGTGTCTGAAGCTTGATCACGTGACCACAGGAATGCTGCAATGGTCATAAGTATGAAAAATGGTCATAAGTCATATTTTTCAGTGCCATTGTACATTTGAAAGGTCACTAAACAAACTATTGTAAGTCGAAAATTTCCTGTATTGAAGGAAAACAGGTCAGTATCGTCTCTAAACTACGCAGAGGTATGAAGTCACCCAGGTCCACCAAAGAATTGCTTGGTATGAAGTCACCCAGGTCCACCAAAGAATTGAGTTTCCAGGGAGATCCTCCCACAAGCTTTTCCCACCCAAAGTCCTCCTGGCCGGGATGAGGTCAGATGTTGGAGCTGGTGGACTGGAGCTTCAGGCTGTTGGAAGTTGTGCACTGCATGGAACTCGACCTGCGAGACTGCAGCACTTTGGCCAAGTACCAAAGGAAGATGAGGAAGCCTGGAGAAACAGGAGAAGATCAGAGATGTTGAGCAGCCCCTGGAAGGCAGTGAGGGATTCGGACACAGGGACGGAACTGCAGTGTAATGTGATACTGTAGGAATAATCCTGAGGGACAGGAGGAAGCGCTGCAGCCAAAGCAACAGATAGTTAAAGAAATTTAAGTCGGGGGCAGAAATGTAATCTAAGAAAGCATCACAAGCAGGAACTTCCCTAACTGACATGGAGATAAAGGGAGGAAGGTGGAAGTGTAATTCGATTTGCAAAATTCTGTTACTATAACCTTGCAATAAAAGTAGACAATAAACAACAGAATAATAGAATTGTAGCTGGAGAAACAGGAGAATGTCACGGAGGTTAAGCAGTCCCTAGAAGGGAGTGAGCAATTGGGATGCAGGGAAAGAACAGCTGCAGGGTTGAGGGCTGTTGACCATCACGTGCTATGGAAGGATTGAAATTCAGAAGTTAAGGACATTTTTTTTCACGATCCCAAGAGTAAGGTGAGCAGGAATACTCACTGACCTTGGAGAGAATTGATGATGGTGAAAAGATAGACGGCCACCAATGTGAGGGTCCCAGAAATGACTCCAAAGAAGACCAGCCCCCACGGGATGCCCAGGACACAGCTCAGGCCCAGGAGCATCACCACATATTCCCAGTGATGCTCTCGGTGTCTCAGCCTGAGAATCTCATACACCATGGTGGCCAGCATTATGCTGTTGAAGAAGAGCACCAGGCTTAAATAGCCCAAATTCAGGAAACTGTGGATCTCCTGTTTGGTAATCCAACAGCTGGAGAAGAAGAGGAAAAAAAACAGAAAAGTAAGTCTAGGCACTATTTAACTAGCTAGAAGGCACATGAAAACTGGAATATAAGCCTTCAAATGGACTGGGAAATTTTCTTTAAGATGACATCTTCCCAAAAAACAGGACACTCCAGGGCCAATCAAGAATGTGATGCATCCCATCCTCTTTGTGGCCTCTGCTCATTCCCTGATTCCCTCATTCTCCAAGAAAGTTGGTTGATGGGAAATGATATTATAGCACTACCTGGCTACAGGTATATTTATAATGAGCTACAAGGGACTAAATGATGGGCCATGATAAGGGGGGGGGCTTAATGAGCCTAGCTCAGGTGTCTTCAAACTTGGCCCATTTATGATTTATGACCCAGAGGTGGACAGCTGTTAATCCTCAAGAAAAAATGCATCTTTCTAAATAGATGGTAGGGGGCATTTTTGTTCTGTCCCCTAGGAACTTACATGCTTGTGTTGGTGTAATTCTCAGGAGATGTATAGATGTTAATAGAGAAACGGCCATAGTAGGACTGATCAATTACAAAAATTAGACATACGACGAGTATAGGAAGACCTGCAAAGGACAACAGCTGGAGTTAATGCCACATTCAGCCCAACTCCACAACAATTGTTGAAAGATAAGTTCAAGCTAGTACAAAAATGTGAAAGAAATCTTAGATAAAATATAATAGTTCCAGAGTAAGAGACATTAAGATTCAAAACAAGGATGCAAAAAAATTTTTATCACTCACCCCAGCCTATTAAGGACAGCTTGACAAGTAAGCATTTGATGTAGGAGTTGAAAACTTCAATCACCATCCGGTAGAGAGTGTAGCCCTCAATGGCCATCCAAGTCAAGCATGCAAGCATGGAAAAATGCAGGAACATGGCACCAGCTTTGCAAGCCATGTCCCCTCCAGTAGGAGCCAGGTGCACCGCAATGAGGAAGCTCACATCGATGAGAAAGATGGCCCAGAGGAGGTTCATGTGGACATAGACAATGTGGTCCCTCTGCTTTTTCCTGTGAAGAAGGAAGAGCATCATACGTCTCTTCTTGATTGAGGCTCCAAGCTGCAGTCATGAAAAGTCTCAGAACCTGTTGTGGGAAAGGGTTTGATCCCCAAGACCTGATCCCTGAGTTATCTAACCTGCTTCCCTCCAGATGTTCTGCAACCCATTCTCACACTCCATTGCTGGTTGGGGCTCATGGAGTCCCTGCAGATTTTACTCCGCTAGCCATTGCTACTCTGTGAGTGGTGCCTGAAGATCTTTCTTCAGTCATGTGGCCAACATAACATCATGGAGCGCTGTTTCCTCTCCACCAAAGTGCTACCTATTTATCTACTCTCATTTGCATGCTTTCAAACTGATATTTTGCCAGGAGCTGAGGCGATGACGGGAGCCTACCCCACTGCCAGGAACTCGGGTCCTGAACCTGGGCTGCCAGTTCCAATGTGACTCAGAGCTGGAAAAATCATTTTTCCTGATGCATGCTGAGATGTTCCTGCACATGATCTCACAGGGTTCTTCTTCACTGTCTTTGCTTGTTCCTTCTTCAGTGCTATTCTAAATTCCTTCTAAGATCCTTCTGAATCCTTCTCTTTTCCAAATCCTGACTTAGAGCAAAATATCAACTTAACTTACTTCAAGCAAAGGAAGACGATGGTGACGAGTGAAGCCAGAGCTGAAATGATGCAACCAACAAAAGTAACAATATTCAGATATTTCTCGTGGATCTCGTCTATTTCTGATAAAGGGAGCTGTGGAAGGAAAGGAAGGAAGGAAAAGATCTAAGAAGGGTAAAGGAATATGAAATATTTTTTCAGCAGCTCCAGGGTTGAAGGAATCATAATGTTCTGAATGTGGTTGGGCCACAACTAGAAGATTGTGTAGGAAGCAATGAGGCCCTCAAGTAACTTCCTGTGAGGGATCAAATCTCTGAAAGGTGTCTGTCTTCTTCTTGAACACATCCTGTGAAGAGGAATTTGCTATCTTCCTGCATTTGTCTTAATTCACTTTCAATAAATATTGAATAATATTAAATAAATAAATAGAATTCTACTATTGTATAGTCAGTTTTTCTTGGTTAGGTTCAAGAGTAAGAGATCTCCTGATGCCTTCTCATCCCTCACCACTGGCAATCTTTCTGAATTTTTGGGAATTGTAGTCCTCCACCATCCTTTGTCTTCATATCCTCTGCAGGATGCTGGTATGGAGTTTGGTACTCACCATGAGCACCGCAAAGAAGGTGAGATGGTCACAGAGGCAGGTTGTTTTGTTCTCTCCATGCACCACTTCACAGCCTGATGTGTCCCACTTGCCGATGTCACTGGCTACAATCAAAAGGAGAGGCTCCTTTAGAGATGATTGTAAGGTCCTGCCTCAGCTGTCCTCTCAGGAAAGCAAAACTCTTGAAACAGGCATCATTTCAAAAAGATCTTTTACTGAGAGAAAGTGATTGCAGGGAGGTGAGGGGAAATCTGAAGTTCCCCCGCAAAAGCATTAAGCTAAAAGCTCCAATTCCCCAGCCCCAAACCAACACAGACCTCAAGGCTGTGTGACCCAAAAAGGAGCCCAGGGGTCAGCTAGGGCCTAGGATGACCCAAACATATCCTTTCCTCCTCTCTCTTTTCCCCATGCAACAATCCTGCAATGTAGGTTTGTAGCTGAGAGAGGGTGATTGACCCAAGGTCACCCAGCTGGCTTTCATATCTAAGGTAGAACTAGAACTCACTGTCTCCTGGTTTCTAGGCCAGGACCTTAACCACTATACCAAACTGGCTCAAAATTATTTCCTAATTTTTGTAAAGCCACATTTTGCTCAAATGAAGAACTGCAAGAAACACAAAGCCCAGAGTAGAGACTGGACAGCCACTTGCCCAGAATGGTATAGGGTCTCCTGCTAAGTCTAGAAGACCCCCCCAAGGTCCCTTCCAACTCTGTCATTCCATTATTCCTTCCAAATCTTCACATTCATGCTCCCAACTTCCTTGGACACTTACGCTTGGCGCCCTTAACCCAGAAGACACACGAGGGAGTCACATTCCTCTGAAATAAAATCAAAATTCAAATAAAGAATGTCATGCAAGGTGTTTTTTTTTAAATGAAAAATACAGGGAGCCATCATAACGATACATGGAGTGTTTCTTAGCCTCTGCAAGTTTGAAATGGCTTATCTCATATCACAAAAATGTAGAAACGTATGAAGAATCTTGACAGAGACCTTCCTGGTACTGCAAACAAGCCAGGATCAGGGCAATGGGAAGAAGAGATTTTTTGACCTACCTGAAGGTGGTTGTGCCAAATGGTGATTGATATCCGCTCTTTCGGAAGCAACCCATGGACCGATGTGTTTCCCACTGAGATGCCAATCACTTTTCCACCAAGGATTGGGCGGGAATCATTATCCTGCCAGGAACAATTTTAGATGATATAATGATCGATGATATAGATAGATGATAGATAGATAGATAGATAGATAGATAGATAGATAGATAGATAGATGATTGATAGATAGATAGATAGATAGATAGATAGATAGATAGATAGACAGATATACGAGAGAGAGAAAGAGAGAGAGAGAGAAAGATGGATAGACAGAGGCAGACAAATAAGATGGATAGAGAGACAGATATCATTATCCTGTCAGAAACTAAGTTTTGATGATTGATAGTTTGATAGATGGAAGAGAGAGAGAACAATAGACAGACAGGCTGGACAGATATGGACAGACAGACAGAGACACAGAAGGACCATCTTCTGTCTTGTTCCCTTTCTGTAACGTATCTGTTCTGGGATGCCAGTAAATCCACAAAAGCTTGTTTTTTTAACAATAACAGTAGCTTCCAAGTTCCTTTCCTGCTTTGCCACAATGTTACTGTAGACGCATGCAGGGATGGGAGTTATTAAGAGAAAATAAGAGATATCTAAGCCTTTCTCCAGGCCATTACCTTGAAGAGCACCGGGCTGGTAGCTGCCAACATCACAACTCGTCCCTCCTGGTTGACTTTTGCACCTTTGGCTTTTGCTAAGACTGATTTTGACAGAGTCACCTGGAACTGATTAATTTCATCATCCTGTAATACAGAAATAGATGTGGCATTACAGACTCTGATTGGAAAGGTAGAACTGCAGTTGCCTTGTAAAGGGAAGGATGGAACCATCATTTCCCATCTGGATTTTCTTAACTTGGTTTGCATCTACCAGTTCTGGCAACCAGACCTATGCAGCTATCTATAATTTTCCAAATTATTATGCCATTCTTTTCAGGTCAGAATTATATACAGGTAAGTCCTTCAGGTTGTCGAGGTTGGACACCCCTGGTACAGGGCTTGAGCAGGGGGTTGGACTAGAAGACCTCCAAGGTCCCTTCCAATTCTGTTATTCAGTATTCTGCATTCTGGTTTGTTGCATCTCAGCTCTGTACTCACCTGCACCTTTTCCTCAATGGACAGATTTTCAGGTGTCTGGGGCGAGATTTTATGCACATTGGCAAATAAACTTGATCGTCCAAACCTCTTATGATGTCCTTGGAACTGCATCTCTACCAATATTGACTCCAGATATTGGAGGTGTCTGTTGAGAAAAGAGGGACCAGATGGGTCCAGGCAACAGATCCACAGGTGCCCACCTCCATTAAAGAGGCAGGCTGCCATTTCATTGACTTATCTTGGTCCAACAACAGCAGCAACATTTGCAGCAAATGATGTTAGAAGGACAACACAACAACAGTACAGGCTGTCCCCATTTAATGGCCATTCACAGTTACGGGGTGATGAAAAATAACTTTGGGACCAATCCTTGCATTATTTTTAATTTTTTTCCCGCCTATTTTTTAATAAATAAGGTAATGGATATTTCTAATACTTCCTCCTCCTATTTCCCCATAACAACAGCCTTGTGAAGTGTGTTAAGCAGAGAGAGAAAGACTGGGCCAAAGTCACCCAGCCAGCTTTCATGTTTAAGGCAGGACTAGAATTCACAGTCTCTTGGCGTTTGGCCCAAAGTCATCCAGCTGATCTCTGTGCCTAAGGCGGGACTAGAACTCACAGTCTCCTGGCGATTGGCCCCAAATCACCCAGCTGGCTTTCATGCCTAAAGTAGGACTAGAACTCTTTTCTAGCTTGGTGCCTTCACAACTAGACCAAAGAAGAGTGGACCTCAATTCCCAGCTGGCTGGAGAATTCTGGGAATTGAAGTCCACTCTTCTTAAGATTGCTGAGGTTGAGACTCAACTAGGTTCTAACCTAAGGAATGTTGATAGCAGTGACGAAAGAATTAAATAGCACCTTTTCTTTTGGAGCTGTGAAACCAGAGTGAGGAATCAAAGGCCCAGCTCCCTTTTCTCCACCAGTACGGACAGCCATTAGCCCATGTATACTCACATAAAGGGATTTTCACGTATGACACCCCTACTTTGCCCAGGCTTTTCTAATCTTCTCAGTGTTGATTCTATTCTTCTAAATTCTGTTTCCACGTCAGTTGTCCCATCTGGGTTTCCTTTCCCCCACACTATTGGGTAAAACAAGAAAGAACATAGCAGAAAACCACCCTGTTCACCGGAGGACCCTCCTCAGAAGCACCCTCCTAAGGAGTGTAAAATGATATTTAATGTGGAGAAAAGCAAGGTTTTACACCTGGACAGGAAAAACCAAAGGTACACGTACAGATGCGGTGAAACCTGGCTCGAAAACAGGAACTGTGAGAGGGACCTTGAAGTCCTAGTGGACGATCACTTAACCATAAGCCAGCAGTTTGAGGGAACAGCCAAAAAAGCTAATACAATCTTTGGTGATATAAACAGAGCCATAGAATCAAAATCACATGAAGTATTAATATTGTTTTATAAAGCCTTAGTAAGGCCACATCTGGAATACTGCATCCAGTTTTGGTCACCACATTACAAAAAAGATGTTGAGGCTTTGGAAAAGGTACAAAGAAGAGCAACTAAGATGATTAAAAGCCTGGAGATTGAAGCATAGGAAGAATGGTTGCAGAAATTGGGGAGATAAAAAGGAGTAGGAGGGACATGATAGCAGTATTCCAGTATTTGAGGGGCTGCCACAAAGAAGAGGGAGTCAACTTATTTTCCAAAGCACCAGAAGGCAAAACAGAAACAATGGATGGAAACTAATCAAGGAGAGAAGCAACCTGGACTTAAGGAGAAACTTCCTAACAGTGAAGACAATTAACCAGTGGACCAGCTTGTCTCCAGACATTGTAGGTGCTTCATCACTTGAGATTTTTAAGAAGAGACTGGACGGCCACTTGTCTGAAGTGATATAGGGCAGGAGTCCCCAACCCCCAGTCTGTGGACCGGTACTGGGCCACAGTATGCCAACAACCGGTCCGCACAAACAAGCAAAGCCCCATCCATGGGATGCAGGCAGCACACAAAACCATGCACTCTCCAGTCTGTGGAAAAACCTCTCTCCACGGAAGCGGTCCCTGGTGCCCAAAAGGTTGGGGACCCCTGTGTTAGGGTCTCCTGTTTGAGCAGATCCCTTCCAGCTCTATTTTGATTCTTCTTGATCTAGTGATGGATCTTAGAAGGGAAGGTGAGAAGCTGTGTTCCATAGGAATGGAGACAGCTTTACATTACCTGGAAACTGGAGAAGGAGAAGGAGAAGATAAAAAGGTATTCTGGGAGCTCTGTTCTCAGTCCAGATGCTGCAGAGGTTTGATGTTGTCGTCATGGTCTTATAGAAAGCTTCCTTGCACAGCCTCCAATAGCTTGACTCTCCTTCAATGCACCTGGAAACGTGCACAAAAAAACATCTTAGTTCAACATCGGCTGCCTTGGCTGAGATAAGCGCTGCCCCACAGAATCGGACATGACCGGACAGGATAAACCTTTACCTTTACTTTCTATGGGTAGAATTGTCCGAAGCACACACTCCGCTAGAGAGAATTGGGTATGTGTAGTTTAATGAAGAGAAGGATGAGGAGGGACACAATAGCACTATTCCAATATCTCAGGGGCTGCCACAGAGAAGAGGGAGTGAAGCTATTTTCCAAGGCGCCTGAAGGCAGGACAAGAAGCAACGGATGGAAACTAATCAAGGAGAGAGAAGCAACCTGGAATTAAGGAGAAACTTCCTGACAGTGAGGACAATTAACCAGTGGAACAACCTGCCTCCAGAAGCGGTGAATGCTCCAACACTGGAGGTTTTTAAGAAGAGACTGGACAGCCATTTGTCCAAAATGGTATAGGGTTTCCTGCCTGATCAGGGGGTTGGACTAGATGACCTCCAAGGTCCCTTCCAACTTTATTATTATTATTATGGATCATCGCACAGTCAGCCAGATGTTCAGACTGGATTTGGCATTTTGTCTACCTATCGAGTCCTTACCCAGGACCTGGGATAGGCAGATGTGGATGTTTGATGGTATTACAGATATCGTCGCAGGATGGAAGCAGTTCCTACTAAGGCTGCCTTTTGCAATTGACTAATAGCGAATTTGTCAATGCCAATGGTGTTCAAGTGGTGCTCCACTTGTTTTGGAATTGCACCCAAGCAGCCTATGACTATTGGTACTATCCTTGCTTGCTTTTGCCACAGGCTTTCTATTTCTATTTGTAGGTCTTTGTATTTTGTTATCTTCTCCAGTTCTTTCTCTTCTATTCTGCTATCTCCAGGCACTGCCATGTCCACTATCCAGACTTTTTTGTCTTTCTTATCGACAATTGTTAAGTTGGGGTGTTATGTTGCAAGTGCTTGTCTGTTTGAATTCTGAAGTCCCAGAGCAGTTTAATTTTATCATTTTCTACGACTTTCTCTATTTTATGATCCCACCAGTTTTTGCTTACAGGCAAATTATATTTTTTGCAGATCTTCCAATGCACCATTGTTGCTACTTTGTCATGCCGCTGCTTGTAATCAGTTTGTGCAATCTTCTTGCAACAGCTTACCAAGTGGTCCACTGTTTCTTCAGCTTCTTGGCATAGGCGGCACTTACTGTCTGTTGCTGTCTTCTCAATTTTGACTTTGTATGCATTTGTCCTTAAGGCTTGGTCTTGTGCAGCCAGAATTAGTCCCTCGGTCTCTTTCTTCAATTTTCCTGCTCTTAGCCATTGCCAGGTTTTATTGTTATCATCATCATCATCATCATCATCATCATTATTATTATTATTATTATTATTATTATTATTATTTAAGTTCCCTGAGGATGGGCTCCAGCAGGAATCTGAAAACCCGGTCTATACCTATGTTGTATAAAGTATATTTTAAATGTGCGTTATGTAGGTGTACCCTTTGAGAGGAAGCAACTAAATTTCATTTTTAATATTGTGCCCACAGGAAAAAATGACAATAAAGGTTATCTAATCCATCTAGAAAATTGAAGCACGTCACATCCAAAGAGACTCTGGTTAGAAAAGAACATTGACGCAAACTACATGTTTCTTTTTAAAAAGCCATTTCCTCTTTTTCTGTCTGAGAAAACTGATCCAGATGAAGGGCTGTCTCAGCAGCTAAAAGAATGGAAAGAGTCGACGTAATCATTTTTACTCGTTTTTCTGTAATTCCACAATTGCATCACGCTGGCCGCAAAATGATCATTCTATAAGGGCTTTCAAGGAAATTGAAAGCAAACTGAGCCAGCAAAGTAGAGCAATGGAAAATTCAGAAGTCAACAGGTTTTCAGAAGTGAAATGAATTCACATGCACGTTAACTGCCATATTTGTTTTCCTGATCAATATATATAAGCAATGCAAAAGGAGAAGCAAACCGATGTCCTTAAAGCACAAATCTTGGATTGTCTTAGAGAACCACCAAGATGGGACATTTTCATCTTGTTTACTTTGGCGCATTTGCTAATGTAGTTGACTTTCTTGAAGTTTACATACGTAGATGTACTTTGATTTTTGTTTAACTTAATTTGAGGATACGTACGTCACTTAGAATTGTCAGGGAGGGAAGCAAAATATAAATCCAGGAAGTAATAAATAACTTAACATTTCCAATGTTAAGTTTGCAAACTGAGACAGCAAGTTCATTTCTCTTGTTTCTATGAGGTCCTTGGCAAATTCTGAGTTTGGTTGTTTTCTTGAAGACATTTCATTACCCAATTAGGTCACATCTTCTGAAGATGTGACCTAGTTTGGTATTGAAACTTCTGCAAGAAAACACCTAGGCTCAGAGAGCATCAAGGACTCCACAGTTCAGCCCTAGGCTACAGAGATACTCTTCTATTGGTTGCTAACACTGATGATGTTACCTAGTTGGGTAATGAAACATCTACAAGAAAATATTTATGGCTGCGGGACTTGGGTTTGGCTAGTCTAAAGAAAAGAAGAAATAGGGGAGACATGATAGCAGTGTTCCAGTATCTGAGGGGCTGCCACAAGATAGAGGGGGTCACGTTGTTCACCAAAGCACCAGAGGGAAGGATGAGAAACAATGGTTGGAAACTGATCAAGGAGAGAAGCAACCTGGAATTAAGGAGAAACTTCCTGACAGTGAGGACAATCAACCAGTGGAACAGCTTGCCACCAGAAATCCTGAGCACTCCATCACTGGAGGTTTTTAAGAAGAGACCTGACATTCATTAAACCTCAAAGATCTGAAGGATGTGTAAAGAGATTTAAACCACTTACATTTATCTTTCATTTGTAATATATGTAGTACACAGAGAGAGAGAGAGAGATGAATGAAATAAGTGATTGTAATAAATTAATTAACCAGATTCTTTGATGATTAGAAAGAATAGAATAAGGAAAGGAGAGATGATATAACCTCAGAGAGGATGAAATATAAATTCTATTTATAACTGTTGTAAAGAAAATTAAAAGTCTCTTTCTTTCTTTTCCATTCTTTCATTTTCATCATACTTTTTTCCTAAATTTCCCCTTCTTTTACTATGCAAATAAAAATTGATTTAAAAAATCAATCTGGATTCAAAATGGTTAAAAATGAAATTCCCTTGAAAATAAAGTCCAATGCCTCTAACCTTGAGAGAACAGATTTCATGGGTCAAGAACCCTCCAATTCCCCAAAAGTTGGCCAAGGACACCCCCTGGGGAAAGGGGATGAAAGTGTCCCCCCCCCAATTCCACAACATTTTTGCAAAGAGCTGAACAAAATGAAAGTTGATTATTCGGTCACAAAAACAGCACGAAGTTTCAATTTGACACGAGAAATATGGCAAATTTCTTCCTTAAACCAAAATACCATCTTCGGAAGACAACGCAGCTGACATCTAGTCCGCCAGTCTATAAATGGCCTGAATGAGATCAGAAGTTCTGGAAAGCATCAACTCCCTCAAGAAATGGCTTACCGGGGGTTTGTTTTCAAACTGTGCTCTATGGATCCTTAGTGTTTTAGGAGTACCTGTCAGAGAGAGAGGCTGGAGATAATTACTCTGAGTCCCACAATGCAAATTGGACCTTGCGTGCGAGAGATACCTTGGTTGATGGGAATTCTCCCACGTTGAATGAGTGTCTGTGTTGATTCCGAAAATGGGAACCCCCTGATCTAGTTGTGCAAGGGGAAATGAAGAGGGGAGAAAGGGGAAGAGATGTGATGGATGACAAGCTAGAGAAGACAACACCACATCAAATTAGGAGGAACATTTATCATTATGGAGCTAGTTTGGTCTAGTGGATTGAGGTGCTGGCCTAAGAACCATGAGTTCTAGTCCTGCCTCAGGCAAAAAAAGCAGCTGGGTGACTTTGGGCCAATCACTCTCAGCCCAGCCCATCTCATGAGGTCTGTTACGAGGAGAATAGGGGAAGGAAGGAGTATGTGGTATGTTCAGCACCTTCAGTTTTTTATAAAAATAAAATAAACAAATAAAACATTTGAGCCGGTGAATTCTCCTGCACAAGCTAGGGTGTCCATAATAATTTTTCTAAGGTACTATCAGCCCCGGATGGTAGACTACTAGACCATGAAACAGATTCTGCAAGAACAGTAGAAGTATATTTTATTGAGATAGATAATATTAACAGGATCTTGCAGGGCTGGTTGTGCTCTCCTCCCCTCCTTCTTACACCCCAAGAATCTCTGGGAGAGCCAGTCTGAATCTTTTTCAGATGCTTTCCCAACCCCTCTCCAGGCTTAACCCATGGACCTTCTGTTGTCCTAACAGCTCCTGAATGTCTTCTCCGAGGGCAGCTCTGTAACTTCCCACCTATAGTGGAAAATGTGGGGTTTGTCAGGTCTCAATTAGAAGCCCTGCCCTCATCTTTGCCCCTCTGGTACCCTCATGACAACCCATCACTCATGCTTGGGTGGGATTATTATTTTTTAATTAACTGGTTCCATAGCCTGAAACTCTTGAAACCCTGGCTTAATCCAAATCTCTATAGCCATGAATCAAACCACATTCCTCTTCCTGTTTTAATTTTGCCTGGTGGGTTTCGTTTGATTGGGAAACTTTCAGACATCTTGTGGACTCATTGGCCATTGCTCCGTGGAGTAGCATTGTGGCTGGACTTAACTGGGATAGTTCTGTGTTTTTGAAGAAGAGAGTTGCAGGGGAATATTAACAAACCCACTAAACCATAGTTGTGTGTGTTTGTGTGTGAGCAGGACAGTACAGTAGAGTCCCTGTCAGTTTCAGCCACTTCTCCAACACCGTAACATAAGAGTTGGTTATCCAGAAGATAATCTATTTCAGTTCTTCTGCTCCTCAGATTGTTTCCATCTGCAATTCTCTGGTTATGATATGGATAATTTCTATGTCCCTGCTTGAGTCTCACTCTTTCTCCAGAATCTCTAGAAGGGCAGTGAGGAAGACAAACTTGGATTTATCCTGCTGCTCTTTTTCAGCCAGCTTTGCTTTTATTCTTGATTCCCTATTCCCCACCCCCACCCCTTCTCTTCTATTTTTCTCGTTCCTGAACTTTCATTCTCCTTTTTTGTAAACTTTGCTTGAGTTCCTTAACTTTCTATATTCGTTCTGTCTGAACTCCTTCAGTTTTTTCAATTCCTCTTTCATTCCCTATTTGCTCTCCTCCCACAAACATAGACCAGTTTCTTTTAAACACTCTGGTTTGTCTCCTGTCTGCTGTTTTATCTGCCTCTGCTTTGTGGCCTGCTGATGAGTGACTCACAAACTGAGTTGGGTCCTTGAAACTATCAAATCCAACCCTCTGCTCAGGGCAATCATAATCTCATTCATTCATTCATTCATTCATTCATTCATTCATTCATTTCCTGCCTTTATTATTTTTACAATAACTCAAGGCAACAAACACACGTAATAGTGCTTCTTTCTATTATTTTCCCCACAATAACCCTGTGAGGTGGGTCCGTTTTAAATCAACAGCTGCAAAGTTTAGCTTTTGCATTCTCCTGTCAGATTTACACTTTCACTCCCACAGCGAACAGCACAATCAGTCAAACAGGGCCTCTTAGTATCTTAAAAACATCCTTAAAAGAAAACCAGCTCTCCTACAAGTCAATTGCCAGGCTCTTTGGCGGCTGCCTAAATCAAAAGAAATTTTTTTGCCAAGCATGATTTCTGTTCAGCAAGATTAGTTAAGGAAAAAGAGATGGATTTACAAGAATTCCAGTAATTAAACTACTTTAAATTTAGAAGCAATAAATTGGAGTTCACGTTAGTATAGAGACTTGTTTACTTTCTTTCCAACAGCCTTCCTTTGATCTGGAGAGGATGCCAGAATAACATGACTATCTTCTGAATCTTTATCCATTTGGAAATGAAACATTCCACCATTTAAAATGAAGAACAAGTTTTCACTGGAAAACTAAAGGCAGTCTGGTCCTTGAAGAAAATAAGTTTAATCTCCTGTATCAGATGAACGGCATCCTAAAATTCTTAAGGACCTGGATGATGGTCTGGTAAGCCATCGTATCTTGTCTTTGAGAAATCCTGGAGAATCAGGGAAATGTCAAATGGCTGGAAAAGAAACACCCCTAACTTCAAACAGAAGGAAAGAAAGATTTAGAAAACAACAGGCCAGTCAGTCTGACTTCAATATCCAGGAAGATTCCAGAGCAGGCATAAAGAGCTCAATGGAAAATAGAATAGAATAGAGCTGGAAGCAAGGTCTACTCTACTCTACTCTACTCTACTCTACTCTACTCTACTCTACTCTACTCTACTCTACTCTACTCTAGTAGCCCCATTCCATGTTCTAACCATGCTGAGATGGAGAATTCTAGGACGTTGCACATACTGCCTAGAGTATGCCATGTCTCCTACACACATCCCCATTTTATTTACTTCCTTGGTGGTTAGTCTAGCTAGCGTATGTCTTTTAGCTTCCCAAGTAGCCTTCTGTGAGACAGATCTTCTGTCTGATGTGATTTATATTTATATATTTCAGAGAATTACGGCCACCCAACTTGAACGTTGCAACTCTGGGAAGCTAAAATAAATCCCAAATAAGTGAAAACTAAGTGACAGTTCAGTTAAAATGAAAACAAACCCTTGGAACTCACAACGGCTACTCGTTTCAAAAAGGGACTCTAATCGTCCTGGCCTCTGTTATGCTGAAGTCCAGGGATCCGGATAGAGAACCCCCCCCCCCCGACGCAGCCTATTGCGAACCGGCTTCTGGATTTGCCCGGACCCTCCGCTTCGGGCTCATCTAAGTCCCCTCGTGCAGTGGGGGACTTAGCGGTCACTAAGCGGGACAGTCCCGACGTCGAGGCGAGGAGTCTTCTCGCGAACCCCCCTGGCTGCTCCAGCAGCCGCTTACCTGCCGCCTCTCCTCTCTCAGCCCGGCTCGCGGCGCTTTCCTCTACTGCGGCCCCGGCGCAGCCAAGCACACGCGCCACGATCAGCGGGCTTTGCTCCGCGCCGGCCGAGGCGGGGCTTTTCTTTTCGTGGCCCACGTGGGGACCGTCCCCGGGGCAGCGCCCAGAGGCGTGGGGGAAGCCCCCGCGAGTGGAAGTCCCGAGCTTCTCCGTGGCAGAACGCGCGGGGAGCGATGCTCAAGCCGGGCGGCTGGGCGGAAAAGAGCAGCCCAGATGCCGGCTTTGGAATTGGGGACGCCGGCAGTTGGTGGGTGCCAGCCGCCCCCGCCGTTGCAATCCGCAGGCTGACACTAGACGCGGCCGGCTCGGCCGTTGCTTCGTGCTTGGGGCCAATCTTCCTTCTGTGGACCCTCCCCCGCCCCTCCTTCCTCTTCTTCTCCCTTTCCTCCCTTGGGGCTGGGTTTTGCCTTGGGCAAGAGTCAAAATTCATATACGAACGGCAGAGCCCTGGGGAGTCTTTTCTGAGGTCAGTGGCCATATCTAACAACAGTGGATGAACGGCTGCAAAACTTGAGGACGTTAGCAGAGAGGGCTAAAGTGACTGCTTTGAGGAAAAAAAAACAACACAATTCCTTTCGTTTCTACATGGAAACCGCTTCTGGACTTTGTGCTTGAGGTGGGAAAAAAATGAAACTTTGATTTGGGGTTTTAGCCATTAGATAGGTTGGTTGTTACAGAAATGGCTTAGACTTATATACCGCTTCACAATGCTTTACAGCCTAAGCGGTTTACAGAGCCATCCTATTGCCCCAAACAATCACGATCCAAATGTGAGCACCATTTAAACGAGGAATCCTGTCTGATTACATTTCAAGTCATCCTCCACTTACAACAGTTCGTTTACTGACTGAAGTTACAGTGGCACTGAAAAAAGGGACTCATGACCGATTTTCATACTTACCACCATTGTATCTTCCTCAGGGTCACGTGATCCAATTCACATGCTTGGCAACTGACTTGTATTTATGACGGTCGCTGTGTCCCAGGGTCACGTGATTCCCCTTTTGCAACCTTCTGAGAAGGAAAGTCAATGGGGAAGCCAGATTCACTTAACAACCGGGTTACTAACTTAACAACTGCAGTGATTCACTTAACAACTGTGGCAAGAAAGGTTGTAAAATGGGGCAAAACTCTCTTAACAACTGTCTCACTTAACAACAGAAATTTTGGGCTCAACTGTGGTCGTAAATCAAAGTCTAACTCTACTAGAGCCTGCAGGAGCAGTTCATTTGCAGAATAAAGGACGATTTCTCTATTGCCAAACACCACATTTCTTCTTCTTCTTCTTCTTCTTCTTTTTATTTTTAGTTGAGAAATACAGTCAGCAACTCTGGTGCAACTTTTGTTTCTAATTTAGTACCTCACCCTCTCAGTCCTGCTTCCACTAATGGGACGGCGATGCCTGCAGTCTAAATTAAAACAGGTTTATCTTTGGAGGCTCTCAGTGTGGACCGTGTTATGTACAATGGCGGCTAATTTGCATGGGACAGTCTTTTAGCGCCCTCTAGAGGATATATCGCATTTGCCAGCTGTCCAAAATGGGTCCTTATTTATGGTTGCTATTCAGTTGATTGTATTTCCAGCTAGAGAATTTCCCATCTGATTCTTGCCCTTCTGCTGGCATGGCCAGGTTGGCATATAATAATTGGGCTGGAAGAAACCCTGGAGGTCTTCTAGTCCAAGCCCTTCCTAGAAAAGCAAATGGATTGTGCTGCAGCTGCATGACTAGGGAGCCTGCTTAAGCTTTCGAGGCAGCTGTGCCACATTGTCCACACAGCAATGTTTCCTAACTTTAAGATAGGGGGGATTCTGGGAGCTCCAAGTCTACCTTTCTTAAAGTTATCAAGATTGAAAAACAATGGGAGAGGAGTGTTTGTCCATTCCTACATACAGGAAGTCCTCAAATATTCTGTTCTGTTCTGTTTTATTCTATTCTTCTGCTTTACAGCACTCTCTGAATGGTTTACAGAGTCAGCACATTGCCCCCAACAATCTGGGTCCTCATTTTACCAAGGATGAAAGGCTGAGTCAACCTTCAGCCGGTCAGGATCGAACTGCTGGCAGTGGGCAGAGTCAGCCTTCCATGCTGCCTTCTAGCCACTGCTCCCCCAGGCCTGACAATAAACAGCTAAACGAATGAGGACTCAGCACAGTGTTTTTGCATGCTATCAAGCCAAACCATGAGCCTTCTGCTGCCCTTATGGAGCATGTATGAAACCCAAAGACAGACACCGTCTTATTTTGTGTTGTTTCGTATTTTACCTGAGAAACAAAGCTCGAAAGGAGAAAAGTCATCTGTGGTCTTTTCTTGCATCAACATTTCTTAGGTAAACCTTCCAAAGAAAATTGCTTTACTGTTTTGCGAGCGGGCCCCAGAAGAAAACAGGAAGGGCAGAAGGGCAGATTATAGAATCCAAGAGCTGGAAGGGAACCTGGAAGTCTTCTAGTCCAGCCCCTGCCCAAGGCAAGTGTCCTTATACTATCCTGGACAAATGGTAGTCCATCTTTTCTTGAAAACCTCCAGGGATGGAGCACCCACAACTCCAGGCAGCAAGCTATTCCGTTGGTTAATAGTTCTCACTGTCAGGAAACTTCTCCTTAGTCCTAGGTTGCTTCTCTCCTTCGTAAGTTCTCACTGTCAGGAAATTCCTCATTTCCAGATTGGATCTCTCTCTGATGGGTTGCTTTGGAGAATAAATTGATATCCTCTTACTGTGACAGCTCTTCAAGTACTCAAAGACAGTTATCGTGTGTCCACAATCCTTCTCTTCAATTGGCTTGACATATGTAGTTCCCTCATCATACTATTTAGCCTCCAATCCCCTGATCATCTTTGTTGCTCTTCTCTGTGCTCTTTCTAGAGTCTCAACATCTTTTTTACATCGTGGAGACCAAAACTGCATGCAGAATTCCAAGTGTGGCCTTACCAAGGCATTGTAAAGAAGTACTAGCACTTCAAGTGATCTTGATTCTCTCCCTCTGTTGATGCAGCTCAGGGCTGTGTTGGCTTTTTTAGCAGCTGCAGCACACAGCTGGCTCATATTTAAGTGATTGTTCACTAGGACTCCTAGATCCCTCTCAAAGGGATCTTACTGCTATTGAGCCAAGTCTCACCTATTCTGCACCTGTGCATTTGGTTTTTCCTGCCTAAGTGCAGGAGCGTCCCTTTCTAACCAATGAACAGCATTTTGTTGGTGGGATGCAATAGGGGAAGTCTGCTGAAATATGGGGGCTTCCAGGAACATGCTGAGACAGGTTTAGTCCCATGTTTCTTACAGTCCCGAACAACCAGCCTGGCACAGAACACAAACAACTGGTACTTTGAGCTATATTTATCCAGACTGTAATCAAGAAGACATCTGCACTAATAAAATTTGCCTTTAATATACATAGCTTCAATTTCAATGTACTCTCATAAACTTTTTACACCACAGGAATTTTTTAAAAAAATATTTACATTAGAAAAAAGAGCCATACAAATATTGAAGGAAAACAGGTCAGTATCGTCTCTAAGCTACCCAGAGGTATGAAGTCACCCAGGTCCACCAAAGAATTGCTTGGCTGAGTTTCCAGGGAGATCCTCCCACATGCTTTTCCCACCCAACGTCCTCCTGGCCGGGATGAGGTCAGATGTTGGAGCTGGTGGACTGGAGCTTCAGGCTGTTGGAAGTTGTGCACTGCATGGAACTCGACCTGCGAGACTGCAGCACTTTGGCCAAGTACCAAAGGAAGATGAGGAAGCCTGGAGAAACAGGAGAAGATCAGAGATGTTGAGCAGCCCCTGGAAGGCAGTGAGGGATTCGGACACAGGGACGGAACTGCAGTGTAATGTGATACTGTAGGAATAATCCTGAGGGACAGGAGGAAGCGCTGCAGCCAAAGCAACAGATAAAAGAAATCTGAGTCAAAGAACAGAGAAAAAAGAATAGAGTTGGAAGGGAGCTTAGAGGTCTTCTAGTCCAGTCCCTGCTGTCCAATCTCTTCTTGAAACCTCCAGTGATGGAGCACCCGCAACTTCTGGAGGCAAGTTGTTCCACTGATTCCTATTGTGTTGTGTAAAAATCCAACTGATAAAGTGGCAGATCTCAAGACTAAAGTAAGCAGGAATAATTACTGACCTGGGAGAGAATGGATGATGGTGAAAAGTTAGACAACCAACCCCTTGAGCATCCCATCCGCTTCATCGCCGTTACTTTGACAAGCTCAAATTGAATTGAAAGGATGAAGTCATAACCAAACTGCAAGCCTCTTGTGCTGTGTGAAAATCCAGGGGACAAAACCTGGAAGATCTCAAGAGTAAGGTGAGCAGGAATACTCACTGACCTTGGAGAGAGTTGATGATGGTGAAAAGATAGACGGCCACCAACTTGAAGGTCCCAGAAGCGAACGCAAAGAAGACCAGCCCCCATGGGATGCCCAGGACACAGCTCAGGCCCAGGAGCATCACCGCATATTCCCAGTGATGCTCTCGGTGTCTCAGCCTGAGAATCTCATACACCATGGTGGCCAGCATTATGCTGTTGAAGAAGAGCACCAGGCTTAAATAGCCCAAATTCAGGAAATTGTGGATCTCCTGTTTGGTAATCCAACAGCTGGAGAAGAAGAGAAAAAAAAAACAGAAAAGTAAGTCTAGGCACTATTTAACTAGCTGGAAGGCACATGAAAACCAGAATATAAGCCTTCAAATGGACTGGGAAATTTTCTTTAAGATGACATCTTCCCCAAAACCAGGAATTTCCAACACACTCATGTGCTTTTGCGACCCTCCGGCGAGCAAAGTCAATGGGGAAGCCAGATTCACTTAACAACTGTGTTCCTCGCTTAATAACTGGAGCGATTTGCTTAATAAATGGGTCAAGAAAAGTCGTAAAATGGGGCAAAACTCACTTAACCAAGGTCTCAGCAACAAAAAAATTAGTCTCAATTATGGTTGTTAAGGCCTACCTATATGTGATTTGCTTAACTGCAATGATTTGCTTAACAGCAAGGCAAAAAGAAAAAAAAAGGTCATAAAACCAGGCACGACTCAATTAACAAGTGCCTAGCTTAACAGTGGGAGTTCTAGTTCCAATTGCAGCCATAAATCCAGGGCTACCTGCATTGAATCTCAGCTTCTACAGCCGTTAATCCTCAAGGGGAAATGCACCTCTCTGAATGGACAGTAGGGGGCGCTCATTTCCACGCTCCAAGAACTTACATGGTTGAATTGGTGTATTTATCAGCAGCCTCGTAGACTTTAAAAGAGGAAGGGCCGTAGTGGGACTGGTCGATCGCAAAAATTAGACACACGATGAACATGGGAAGACCTGCGGAGGAGAAGAGTCCACATTAGGGCTTCTTTCATACTCCCTGCCCATATTGCTCACTCAGAAAG